GACAACCGCTTCTCAACCGGGAATCTTGACATGAATCTTGTGTGAAGCTTTATGGACCGTTATTTTGTGACTTTTGAACGATCCAATCTTGAAAAATTGTCTGTTTCAAGTAAAATATAAAAGGGATTCAAAGTAGATCCTAGAAATCCAAAATTTATTAAGCATTTTATCAAGCTTTCTTAGCCTTCTTGTTCGACTCTGTGCAGAAAAGTAGCTCTTTTCTGTAGAATCTTATTTAATGTTTTGATTTGAATATCTGATTCTCTTGTCCCGCCTCTAAAAGATCGTTTTGTGTGATAAGGGACGGAGGCCACTTTTCGTATTGCTATGAAACACTGAACCAACGATCGATTCTATTTATTTATTATATTTTCTCGCTAGATTAATAATTGTGTTATATTTGGAATAAATATCTAATAATCATTTCCCCATCGGTACCCTCTCACACACTGCAAGACTCCATCTTTTCGACTCTTGTCAAGACTTTAAGGAGTGTCAAGACTTTCCAGCATCGGTTCGGGAAATCCGGAAACTACATTGGGATCTACTATGAAAGCAAAGACTTATAAAAAGTTGACAGATTTTATTGTTCTTTGTTATTGCTACGTTTAATAAAGTTTTATTTTAATTTATTTTGATTCTAAATTCAAAACGTTTGCTAGAAGATGTTAAAATTGTTGAGTTTGTACTAAAATGGTTAAACATCTTGTTAAACAACAAACTTGAATAGCTTAGAACCTATCTAAACCTATCTAGAACCATCAAAAAATCAATCAAGTTAATTAATCAGTTAATCAAGTTAATCAAGTTACGAATGACTCATTAAGTGTCAAAATCAAATCGAATTTTTATTGAGCAAGAAAATGAATTGAGAAAGATTTGGGAAATGGCCAAAGAAGAAAGAGGCCAAAGACCCAGAAAACCCCAAAAGAATCATCCAGTCACAAGGCAAACGAAACTCTGAACGAAAGAGTTTTTTCCTTGGTGTTTGTTTGTTTCAGAACACCCGCACACCCTTTTTGTCATACAAAAACGCACCAAACAGTCACAGTCACGAAGTTCTTTCAAGAACAACAGGAACCTAGTTTTTAAATATTTGCTTATAAACCGTTTCCCTTGTCATTGTTGACTTTTTCTGAATCCACTCAAAGAATCCCAAAATTTACCCAAATTGTGGTATTAAGTAATCTTGTTACTTTTTTGATGGCATTTCCTTTAAATTACTTTGTTTATCTATTGCTCAACTATTAAGTTACTGTAGTTACAGGGTGCGGCATGTAGAGTTGCGGACAATTCAATAGAATCAATGCTCTATTTGCACAAATACCACAAATTTTTCATTATTTTCACACTCAAAAAGACATCAATAGCTATTTTTATGATATTAATAGATTGCTCTAGAATACAATGCCAAAAGCCTAATTTACTCCTAGATTATCAACTTTTTTTTTGACTTTTCCTGAGAATTTCTGGACAAGTCTAGAGTTATTCTAGTTCTTCGGATAGATAGACATGTAAAAGTTCACCTGTATACATTGTGGGATCATCATCAGTTGTGTGAATTTTGGGATGACAATTAATATCAAATTTCTCTATGGCTGATCGATTGTTTATCAGTGGGTCGGTTCGACGCTTCATCAGACGTCCACACCTCGTCCAAACAAACGAAAACAAATGTTTTTTACATGTTGAATCAAAAGGTGTGTCAAGTGACTCAATTATCTTTGAAAAAATTTGAAGGGGCTTTTTTCGTTTTCGTCGAACTCTGCGTTTGAAATATCCGATCGTTTGTCACTTAGCGTTTGTCACCGATCAGCTTAGGAACTGAACTTCAATTAGGAAGAAAGGTATTAACTATCGACATGCAAACATTAAAAAGTCTTTATTTTTGTGGTACAATAATAGTATAGAAATAGATTCAGACGTTTTCTTGAGGCGAAATCGGGAGTCAACTTCTTTCAGCAGTAGCTGTTGTCGCGATTTTGCAGCGGCAAAGGTGATTAGCCCACCCTTCGCATTGACCCCAATTGCATTTTTCAACGAGTTTGCAATGCATGTTGCATTCCGCATTGTTGCTGCTCATATATGTGCATCCATAAGCTAAAGCATTTAGAAATCATTTAGAAAGAGTAAACATTTAGGTGTTAAAATTTAGATTTAGAAATAAAAGCTAAAAGAATTCTTCAAACAGGAGCCGGTCAAACTTGTAAATAATAAGTTTTGATTCCTTCTATCTAGGTGAATAGTTTTTATTAACTACACAGTTGGCTCTTAAAAAATATACCTAATATGTAAAATTTTAATACTCACCTCGTTTCACGCGAGAATGGATTCCGTCATTTCCGATGTCTTCATGCACATGCACCTTCTGCGAACTTTTAGATCCATTATCTACCCATCTTGCTGATACAATAACGATGGACACAAGCAAGCAGAATATGACCACCACCATTTTGGTCAGCTTCATCTTCGGCTAGTCAATGCAGAGTTATTGAAAAATTGAACATCAACTTTGCGGCGCAAAGCTTTTATATGATTCAGCTCAATGGAGTGGGGGCGGTCCATGTTTATTGATCTAGTAGAAGGTCAAAGACTTTAAACCAACCGTTTGCAGTCTAAACCAACCCTTTGCAGTTCCCGGTAAGCGGAAGGTCGCAGGTTCGAGTCCCGGTGGGGCAAAACTTTTTGATCTGTCCTGGTTCGTCCTGGTTATTGTATTGAGCAAGGAAATGAATTGAGAAAAGATTTGGGATAAGAGTGGCCAAAGATTAAGACCCAGAAAACCCCAAAAGAATCATCCAGTCGCAAGGCAAACAAAACTCTGAACGAAAGAGTTTTTCGTTGGTGTTTGTTTGTTAGAACACCCGCACACCCTTTTTTGTCATACAAAAACGCACCAAACAGTCACAGTCACGAAGTTCTTTTTCAAGAACAACAAGGACCTAGTTTTTAAATATTTGCTTATAAACCGTTTCCTTGTCATTGTTGACTTTTCTGAATCCACTCAAAGAATCCCAAAATTTACCCAAATTGTGGTATTAAGTAATCTTGTTACATTTTGATGGCATTTCCTTTAAATTACTTTGTTTATCTCAACTATTAAAATGACTGTAGTTACAGGGTGCAGAGCATGTAGAGTTGCGGACAATTAAGTAGAATCAATGCTCTATTTGCACAAATACCACGAATTTTTCATTATTTTTTACACTCAAAAAAGACATCAATAGCTATTTTTATGATGCTATTTATCTATATCTATATAGCTATTTATCATCAATAGCTATTTATCTTAGCTTTCGATTGGCGCCAATCTTGAACAAATATAATTTAGTATTTATTCGATAACTCAACAATTAACAAAATAATGTTTGAATTATCGACATTTAAAGACAAATTTACGACATTTCAATAGAACCGATCGTAAAAATTAATGTGAAATGGAAAAATCTTTGTTTGATTTAACTTTGAAATAAGATACCAGCTGATCTTGCGACGATCAGCTGGTATCTTATTCCAAACCGATTTTACAACCGCAGATCATGAATGAATACGCCATCTTAAACATCTTAAACATCTTCAACAACAAACTTGAACAGCTTAGAACCTATCTAAACCTATCTAGAACCTTCGAACAATCAATCAAGTTAATTAATCAGTTAATCAAATTAATCAAGTAACGAATGACTCAAGTGTCAAAATCAAATCGAATTTCAATCGAATTAAAATTTAATTAAAATCAGAAATGAATTGAGAAAGATTTGGGATAAGAATGGCCAAAGATTAAGACCCAGAAAACCCCAAAAGAATCATACTTCTTGCAACGATCAGCTGGTATCTTATTCCAAACCGATTTTGCAACCGCAGATCAATATGCCATCTTTTCCTTTTGATTTTTAGACCTTTATTTCTCTATCTACATCAACCCAAAAGCACTTCAATTGACGATAAACCAGGGATTTATGGCGGCCATTTCAAGATCTTCCATCCCTGATTGGTGCCCTATTTTTGTTAGCCAAGATAATCTCCCATTTGCAATAAGAGAGCTCAAAAAGTACTATTTTTATAGTAATTAACTCTAAAAACGTATTAATGCAGAAAAAGACAGAAAAAGACAGAAAAAGACGACTTTTAGAGACCCCAAACCTGAATTTAACAATTTTTCAGCATGCCGTATGGCATTTTTTGTACTGCTCGGCTAGGGTTGTCAAAGGCATTAAAAATCTTACAGTTCTTCTATTCTATGTAAAATTATGATAGATTATGTAGATTTTAGAACTAATTGTTGTCTTTCAGCTTAAGTGAATGTATCGTCTTAGAAAGCCAAAAAGATACATTAAGCGCAACACTATAAATGCCGCACTCTGTAGTGAAAGAACGATATATGTACTAGTTTTTATTCATGATCATTTGGTGCCAATTCAAAAACACTTAAATTTTATGAGATTCTGATATCAGATGAATCTCATAAAATCTTAGAAATTTAATGATCTTAGAAAAATGATCATTAAATTTTGAGATTAGATTTGCTGAAGTTCACTAACGATAGAAGAAGAACCATCTAATAGAAGTACCCCCTTGATACAATAGTAATTTAAAAGGTACTAGAATTGTAAAGCTGTAAGTAGAGCTGAAAGCTGTAAGTAAAGCTGAAAACTGTAAGTAGAGCTGAAAGCTGTAAGGTCGAGTTGAGCTTGCTCCCCGTCAGAGAGTTGAGTTGCTTTCGGCATTGTTTTTTGAAGTTGAAGTAAGACAAAATAAGTTCTTTAGACCTTCTTATAAGGAATCTGAAATGAAGGGGCGGGACTTATATTTGCCAGAGGCAGATTTAGCTTTTAAACTAGAAAAAATTATGAAATGACACTAAAGTTTGGGGGGTGGCGTATGGTTACATGGCTGTTACATTTTTCCTATTCATGCTATGTCGATGATTTTTTTGGGTGTAAGGGTTATTTTTGGTCCTGAATCTAACTGCGTTTTCAGTTTTTTTGTCACTGGGACGGGAGCCGCAGAAAATTTAAATTTAGGGGGGTGGCGTATGGTTTTGCACCGCACTGTAGTTACCTAAAAACTTCTAAAACTGATAGGGTAAAAATTTAAAGGAAATTTTGCTTTGCTTTGCTCTAGATTATCTAGTAAACTACTAATGTTTTTTCACACAATTTCAATCTTTAACATCACTTTAACATCTTTTTATTCTTCGAAAGACTCAGTCGAACTTTGACCCAAACCTTTCGAAAGCTAGTCCTGAGCTAGTCCTCATGTTAGTCACTCAAAAATGACCAATCAAAACAACAAGAGCAATAAAACACACTCAAATTTATGTTTTTTTGAGTAATCATCACTTTTCAGGCATCATCACTCTTCATCTTCAAGCTATTCGAGTATGGAAAACGCGGAAGAGTTTGAACAAAAACAACAGCAGCAGTAACAATTGCCTACAGTCTCTCATAGTCAGGTCAGTCAACTCTACCAGCTCAAAACTAAACTCTGTCTACCATACGGGCTTAGAATTTAAAACTTTTCAAGGATTAGAATGAAAAGATTGGAATGAAGAGATTAGAATTTGTGGTCCTTTCTTGAATAATGACTATTCGATGAATTGACCAAATTTACGTTAGATCTTTCTCGTTTGGCTTGCTGTTTGGGCTTTAATCAATTTCATGCTCGGTTTTAGCCTCCACCATACCCAGTTAATCCATCTGGACCTCAGCCAGAATCTAGAGGAAACGCTGTTGCACCTATTTACGTTGTCGGACAACAACAGGTATTATAACTTTAGACTTTAGACGGTTTGGAATAACGTTACACTTTTTTAGCAAAATTTTAATAACTTTACCTCAAGATTCTTCTTATTAATTGCTTTTTTAGCCAGCTGTAATCTTTCAACAACCGATTCCCTTCGATCCGCGCTCTCTGGGTCCATATCCAACTGTTGTTACTTGTCCGAATTGTAAACAAGTAAGTAATTTTGACAAATTATAGAAATTATTACCTTCAGGTTAACCCCACTACAACTTTTGCTGAACCAGGACTCTTGACTTGGTTGGTTTGTTGTGGAACAGCCATCATTGGGTAGGTACAGCCATCATTGGGTAGTGTATCAATGTTTATTGTAACAAGTAAAATGTTGAAACAAATTGATCAGCTTTGATGAGTAAGTAATCATCAACAATTTTCAGCCTCTGGCCGTGCTGTTTGCTTCCATTTTGTGTGGATTCTTGTCAAGATTCAGAGCATCGATGTGGAAAATGCAAGAAATACATTGGAACTTATAAACGAATTTGATAAATTTCCTCATTTGCTAAATTTATTACGTACATATCTATGTAAACGAATGTCATTTTGGATTTCAATTCAATTTTAACAGACTATTTACAAACTATTTGCTCAGCTGGGCGAGTTTTCAATCATTTCAACCATTCATTCGATCGATCCATTTCAATGGGGTCATCGTTTGGTGGGTGTGAAGTGAAAATTGAAGAAAAGAGAAAGAATCGCGCAAAGTTTGTCCTTGAAATTGGCAGCCTTTTCTTCTTTTTCTCATTTCACTAGGTTCTGCTCATTTTACTTCGATCGAATGGTAAAAAAGAGGCGAAATTTGATCCTTTTCTATCCAAAGGGTCAGCTTCAACTCGTTCTAGTATCCAATAGCTTTGAGAGAAATTTCATTATTTTATGATTCAAGTTTCGCAACAACATTGGACAATCGTTTGTTCTTGAATACTTGTTTCTTTTATCTTTAACCTTTCGTAATATTTGTTTTACTTACCGTAAATACTGTAATAGTACTACCCTGGCCTCATCAGACTCTGGTCCGACCTAGCCCAAGTCTGGAGGCCATTGTCTGGTCTAGATCAGGTCTAAATAACTGTAATTGACTCGTGTCTAGCCTATCCTGCCTGGTCCAATGGTTCTGTCTGGCTTAGCCTAGCTCTAGATTTTCTCGAGCTGATCAAGTCTTGGCAGGTTCTGGTCTGGTTCTGGTCTGGTCTAGCCCAGGTCTGGCCTCATCAGACTCTGGTCCGACCTAGCCCAAGTCTTGAGGCCATTGTCTGGTCTAGGTCAGGCTGACCTAGTTCTGGTTTGGCTCAAGTTTGGCCTGACTGAATGGCTTAGAATTAAAGTAGAGTTTGGCACTTTTTACTTACCGTAAATACTGTAATAGTACCCTACCTCTCTCGTACAGTCGCGTAGTCGCAAAAGTTTTTTAGTATTTCATTTTTGCAAAGCACACGTATTTTCAAAAATGTGTCTTTGGTATCAAAAAATAACCCTGAATTTCAGCTATTTTTTGATACCTAAAAACGCATCGTAGCATAAACCAGTGTCGAGAAAAACTCGTCTAAAGCTAGACTACACAACACTCCGCACCGTCATTATAGGGGTGGGGTACTATTACAGTATTTATGGTAGGTTGTTCTAAAGGGTATTTCTGGTTGGGCTAGGCTGGCA